ATATATATATATATATATATATATATATATATATATATATATATATTTATATATAATTTGCTAAATGCCTGGCGAAATTATTGAACATCTCAGCTAATTAAGTCAATGTATTACATAATTTGTTTAAAATTTATATTAATTTAGTTATTAATTGTTTTGTATTTTTAATTTTTTTTTTTTTTTTTTTAGCTTCATGGAAGAGAAGAAATCGTTGGATCACATAAGTAGGTTTTGTTTTTTAGCTAAATTCTCTAATAACAAAAAAAGTTCAAGTTAAGTAACCATTTTAAAGCGTATTTACATTAAACATAACGAGCAAGTGCAAAGTTTTTAAATTTTTTTTCTTTCTTTTTCGTTTTTTGTTCTTAGGTCTAGATTGAAACGATCTGAGACTCCACAGATAAAGTTTCTTTATATTTTTAGGTAACTCTCAGTTTTTGGTTTTGGTTTTTCTTTTCATTTTTAAGGCTGAAGACAGAGTATTAAAATTTTATTGTTTAAGAGTAAAAGTTTTTTATAAAATATATATGTATCATATATCAAAGTATAGTTGTTTTACTGTTTATCGTTATGTAGAGCGCCTTTATATTACAGGTATTATATATTTTACATGCCACTGAGCTAACAATCTAATTAATATTCCTTAAGCCTATAAAATGTTTTCTTTTTAATAAATCTTTACTATGAATTTTAACTTGAATAATGCCAACGCTTGATCCACTAAATGAACTAGACTACAAATCGTATATATCTATTAGGCTTACCCATATATAAATTTTGTATAATTACTATAATTTTTTTAAGTCGATATATATGTATATATGTATATATATATTTATAAATATATATATTTTGCAAATTATGAAATTGTAATTTGTTCACTACGATTTCTCCATGTATTTGTATATATATATATATTTTTTTTTATATATATATTTGTTTAGTACTCGTATTTTAAGAATTCTTTCGGTAATTGGTCCTTAGTACACTACATAGAAAGCGTTTAAAAAGTGAGCGCGCAGCCAAATGACAACGCGAGGCAATTGCGGTTCAGCCATGGCCCACGGCTAGATTAGAAATAAGAGCAGAGCTGTGAGCACAGCAGGCAATTGATCAAATTTATCTGATAAAGCCATTTGAATTTAAAATTAAAAGAGCGTAAATACTATTGGGACAGAATAACGGAAGCATAACAGAAGCATGACACTAAAAAAAGAAATATAGTTTTAACAGTTATTCCCATAGTACATTGCGAACCACCTGTATGCGTTTTTGGTATCTTTGTGCTGAGTCAAGCGACGGGCTCTAAAGATAACCAGAAATAATTACTTGTTTGCACTTTAAAGGACTCCAATTTCCCACAGTGCCTTGCGGACCACCTGTGTGCGCTTATTTCGGCATCCCTACTGTCCAGGTGCTTGCCTCAGTTGCGCACACTTTTTTTGTCATCTACTTTAAGCAAACACCTTTTTGTGTCAACAAACATGGAGCGGAGCCGTGTTTCAAAGGCAGCTGTCCTTTTTATGCTGCCCACAGCTGTGACGACCTTTTCAAAAGCCCATGCAAACGTCCACGCCTCTGGGCGTAACTGTCCAGTGTATGCCTGTATGCGTGTGTGCGTGTGTGCATGTGTGTTAGTGTGTGAGTGTGCGGGGGCGCACGTTAATTGCGCCTGGCAAAACAGGCAAAAGCTGGGCCAAATGTAAAGTCTAAAAAAACCAGCTAAGCCGCACATTAGGTGTCAGCCAGTCATGTATAAATTTATGCTGGCCTTGTAGAGCTTTAACACACACACATAGATACACGTACTCGAACAGAATACATATAAGCGAGGCAGTCAACTGTGACTTTTTCTGTAGCATTTTTTTGTGGACGCAAAATTAGTTGAAAAATGCGCAAAATTAAAATTAAGATAGAAACTAAATAAAAACAACTACCTTTTTATTTCGATTTGTAAATATAGGAACTACAACTAAGTTGGGCCAAAGATTTTTGCAACAAGAAATACGTTACTTTAATTAAATAGAATATCAATTAAAATGGACTTATTAAATTTAATTATATTTTTTCTTTTTTAATGAAAAAATGCGGGAATTAATAATAAGAAAAAATCTAAATAAAAACACTCATATATGTTTCCAGCCATTTTGTAAAAAAAATTGTTTCAAAGTTGATAAAAGCTACAAATATTTCGAATTATTTCTGTATATATAGTTGATTAGAACTATAATAGGTTAGAAACAGAATTTTAAAAATAAAAAAGAAAAAAAAAAAAACTGTTTACAATGTCATTTTGTTAAAATAGAAATCTGACTGCGAAGAATGTAATGGTATTTATTTTAGAGAAAACTGAAAGTACATTTGAAATAAAATTATTTGTTGTACAATATTCAATATACAAAAAATTAACATACAAAAATTACAAAATATATTTGCTGTATACATTTAAAAAAAATCATGTAGGCTTTAATTAACTTAAAGCTGTGAAAAACATCGTAAATGAGATTATATTATTGGGAAAATCCTGAGATGATTTCAAATGTATACAGCATCTATGAATGATATCTATAGTCTGGATTGGACAAACAAATATTATTTTTAAACAAAAAGAAAATTTAATGAAGGTAATCTAAATACCTCAGTAAGGGTATGCAAATAGTCGCCGTTCCTAATATATTTTTGTTCACCTGATTCAACAGCATATTTATGCCATCATAAATAGCAACCGCAACTGCTAATTAACTGGCTGAGCTGTGGCGTACAAACAACCGCAACAGCAACAAACATAAAAAAATGTTAAAGTCTAATTAAATTAATCCCTTTCGCACACATGTCTATCTAGCAGGATTGCGTTGCGTTGTCATTCAGTTGTTGGCAAATTTTTTACTTTTTGTCAACTCTTTTCTGCGCGTCGCATTCGAATTTTGTTTTTTACGTGTATCGCAGCTATTTTTGACCTTCGTTTTGGTTTTTGGTTTAATTTTTTTTATTTTATTATTTATTTATTTTGGTATTTGACTTACGTTAATTGAGTTTCTGTTTTAATATCATATTCACTACGCTCATTTAGAAATGTACTTTAATACTTGCCTTCGGTGCGAAGTTTGTTGCAATCAACAATGAACTGAATTGATAATTAATAACTATTAAATATTAATTATTAAGTATTAAATATTAAATGTATGTATTATTATTGCGCTACTTACATGCAAACATTATTTTTGCTTTATTTCGATAAAAATTATAATTCAATTTGGCCATTTCATTTCATAATTAATTCACTGTTCAATTAAATTGATTTTTGCTGCGCTTGTGAAACGCACAGAAATATTATTATATTTCTATTATTATTTGTAGGCTTTAATTTAAATTTTTAATGCCTTTGTTAATATCGCGCTTTTTATTAATTCACGTCATAATTATTGCTCTTTCTTTGCTTATGCAATTTAATTTCGTATTATTTATTTTTTCAATTTCTGTCTGGGGGCTAACTGAAGTAAACGCTTCGGACTGCCTGAGCAATTTGTATACAATGAGCAATCATATCAGACTATAATAGGTGTTTGAGTTGAGTTGCATTTAGTGTGTTCAATTATTCTTGCACTCAACTGAAAACCGAAAATGTTTTTATTTTCCTCTTTTTTTTAATTAACGAACAAGTAACGCCACTCAATAGCTGCAAAAAGTGCTTACAGCTCATAAATTCAATGCTTGATTTATGTGGCCATCATTCGAAAAGTATTTTAGGTGTGCTCCGTTATCAGAAAATGTCATTTAAATTGCTTTTTCAAATGTTTACGAAATTGATTTATGAACATAATTTCCTACACAATATTCAGTCGGTGGCCCTCCCAGAGCTGACATTTGGTTGGGCCACCTGACAGGCGACCTTTGCACTAATATATAAATATTATATAAATCTTTTTATTTCATTTTGGGCCAGGTTTCATTGGAAATTTGTGCAGCAATTGCATAAAAAATTCAATAAATAACATAAAAATGAAAACGAAAATGCGGCACCCATGCGTTGTTCTCTCTGTCGGCATTTATGAATGTTGCGCGTGTAAGTTTTTTATTGCACACATTTATTGTAGTGTGTGTGTGTCTGTGTGTATGTGTGTGCGTACTTTTGTGTATTTTTTCACAACCATTTTCTTTTGTTTTTTCTTTCGGCTATTTCTCATGCACTTTCACTTGTGAATTAGGTATATTAACTTTTATTGCTGATTATTACTTTGAATAATGCTGTAGTTGCTTGAAGATGGCTGTGCTTGCGCAACAAACTTATTGTTTGCCATTTGGTTTGTCGAAACAGAGTTGCATTGATGCATCGAAGGATCAGCAGATGCCAATTTAGAGTTTCCAAGATGTGGCAACGCTGCGCAGGGGCGTATCGCGCAAAAACTTGTAAACAAAGTGCTTGTCTGCGTGTTGTGTATGTGTGTTTGTGTGAGGTTTCTTTTATTTTAAATTACATTTTATGTAATTTACGGAAACGTTTTTCTCGCACGTTTCGCTTTCATTTAATGGCTCGCGCTGCTGTTATCAAAAATTTTTATTGCTGCCGCTCGTGTTGTTGTTGCTTTTTATTGCTGTTGCATCTCGGCGCCACCTCCGCCCAGTCCTGCCTTCGTCTCGGGTGGCACCTGTTGGCGCGTTTACATGGAAGATGAAATTTTACGAGTTAGTTTCGAATTGAACTTGAGTTCTACTGATACGGGCAAAGATATTATGTAAATTAAAGACACAATCAAAGCATAAGCAACATTCAGGTAAAATAGCAAGTGTGTGTCTGTGTCTGTGTGTTTGTGTGTGAGAGAGTGTGTGTATGGGTAGTTAAGTTTGTACACCCAAGGAAAAAATAAACAGTAAAAGAATCACATTGAAATGCTTCCAATAAAGAACAAGCCCCGAATATTCGCACGTACATACATTAGCATACACACACACACGCATACACGCCCACATCCTCATACACGCACACTTACATACACATATACAATAACCAGCATATTTGCTTGTGGCATCAAAAATGCACGAAAATCAAGTCGAAATAATACGAAAGTGGAAATAGGTAAAACTTGCGTACGATAATCCAAATGGCAAGAAAATACCAAAAAAGGAAGAAAGACAAGAAACGCATGATAACGGCACTCAAAATCAAAAGTCTTATGTGCATACACTCAAGAAAAAATCAGCTAAGAAAGTAATAGTCGAAAGTGGCCGACTGGAAAAAGACGTGGGAGACGATCTCAAATATCCTAATGTCTTTAGTTTGCATGACTAACTTGCGAAATAAGCTAAATAAGGTCAAAAGAATATCAACTAAATTTCATGAAATATGGAAAGTTATCGACTTTAATCAATATCGCTATTAGCTTATTGCATATTAAGTTCGCGGACAGAAGAAAAACCTAAATTAAAGTCGCTAAAGGCGATTAGTCGTGTCTAATTTTAAATTTCAAATGAAATAATATTTTCATTTTCAACATATATTATTCATCTTGAATTTTTTCTTACAGTGTATACTTTAATTAATATTTGTCCTTATTTAAGAATGATTTTAAGCTTATTAGTTTATTTGCTTAGTTTTTAGATTTCTAAAATATTTTTATTCATAAAGCAAAAAGATAGTATGTTAACATTGATAGCTTCCAACGTAAAAACTAACAATAGATCATGCTGAGAATAGTTTTAAGAGTTAAACAAATAAAAGAAATTCCATTAAGGCATAATCATATAGCAGAAACTGAATGAAACCAAATAATAGCTTTGATCGTTGAATTTTGTGGGTAGTATACTTTTTTTTTTTTTTAATTTTATAGCTAGATCCCGTAAAACGCTCAACAAGAGACATTGAAACAGAGAGAAGTCTACGACAAAAATAACAACGACGATGATTGATAGCAACGGCGACTGTACCTAGGCAAAGGGTTACTTGTTTAACCGCCATAGAAACTATGAAAGTCCAGGAAATCCATGGAGTCTGTTTGATTTTGCTGTTGTTGGTCGAGCTACGCGCGAGAGAGATGGATCGATGACAATCGATCATGTGAAATGATGAGGTGAGTTTTGAAGGTGGTTTGTTATTATTGTGGTTTAGGTGGTGGAGAGCAGGAGAAATAGAGAGTTATGGTAGGAAAGTGGTAGAATATATATATGTATAGTATATATATAGGTTGGTAAAACAGAGCCTAAAGTGTTCGACTGCCGGGACCTCAATGGGAGACTCACCAGCTTCTTGAAGCAGTCCTCAAAGAAGGCGGTCATCGAACGATACAGATGACGCTTCACACCCGACAAACTGTGCCCCTCGTCCGGGTAGATTTGTTGTTTGTAGAGCACTCCTTTGCTGGTTAGAGCACGGGCCAGCACCATCGACTGCTGGACATGTACATTGTCATCCGCCGTGCCGTGCACGAGCAGGAACTGTCGCTCGCGCAGATTGTCCACGTATTTGGATAGATCGCTCTCCTCGTAGCCTTTGTAGTTGTCGGTCACATTTGGAAAGCTGAGATAGCGCTCCGCGTAGGTGGAGTCTGCGAGAGGAGTGAGATTATAGATGCATGCCCATAGAGTGTGAAGGGTGTAGACTTACCATAGAGCTTCCAATTGGTGACTGGCGAAACGCTGATGCCGCATTGAAAGATCGACTGCTGTCCGGCTAGAGCAAGAGCAGCCGTGTAGCCGCCGTAGCTCCAGCCCCAGACACCCATGCGCCGAGCATCGATGAAATGCAGATTGTCGCGCAGATATTCGCTGACTTCCAGTTGATCGGAGACCTCAACGCTGCCCAGGCGCTTGTAGACCTCATGGAGCAGCTGATAGCCCTGGCCCGACGAGCCGCGTCCATCGATCTCGATGACAATGTAATCCTTGGTGCCCGCCAGATACGTGTTCCAGTCCACGTGCCAGCGATCGGTCACCAGCTGGGTGCCCGGGCCCGAGTAAACGTGCAGTATGGTGGGATAGCGTGTGATCTCGTCCTCGCGCAGCACGGGCGGCAAATGGAGGCGCACCTGGGCATGATAGCCGCCTGAGATCATGACGGGAAAGGTTTTCACCTGCGGCAACGCGACCTTTGCCATTTTCTCTTTTAGCCTCGTGTTATTCTGAACGGTGGCTAGCAGCTCGAGGAATTGCGATTTAGGCTCAATATTTTCCTCGACAGGAGCATCAGTTGGCAGCTGCTTTTCACCCTGCTTCTTAGCCTTGGCTCCACCAGTCAGTTTCAAGGCATATATTACAGAGCTGGGCACGACTGGGCCCAGGCATTCCAACAGCACAAAGCGAGCCCGAATCGCCAGCGGAAACTGTGCCTCATGGTACAGGCAATCGCTGGGCGGTGGGGGCAGGGCTCCGCCATGTGCATGCGACTGACGCTGTTGCTGCTCCAAGGGCATTGCTGGCGGCGGTGGCAGCGACTCCGCCTCTTCAGAGTCCTCCCAGTCGTCGTCCCATGCGGTTACTAGCTTTGGCGGCGATTTGGTGTGACCCTCGTCATAGCCATCGCCGTTGTGCTTTAGCGCCGGACACGTCAGACAGTCCGGTGCCTGCAGAGCCTGGCCCTGGCGAGCGGGCAGGGCGGAGACTCGATACAAATGCTGCTGCGAGGGCAAACGCTCGGGTGTGCCTAAAAAATATCTGTGAGCCGAAATTTAGTGGGGATTAGGGAACACTTCAATAATTGAATTTATTGCATAAAAGGTGGAACATCTTTAACCTAAACTTGAAATTGAATTGACATAATCTTAAGGTGGGCGAGTAGGCATTATTTAGAGTCTCAAGGAGACATTTGCTTTCATCAGTCTACGAAAATATGACTTTTAAACTTTACATATTTGTGCTTATATAGAGAATAATTGAAAATATTGGCTTTATACCCCGAATATCTTCACACACAAGAGTTAACTTTGAATAAAAATAACTCGCAAAGAGGGATTTATTAGTTTCAGTTCAGGACCTTGTTTCAGCTATTCGTACATATTTTAAAAAAATTATAGGGAATGTTTGCTTAGAAAAATTTGTATAACTTTTAAGAAGTTTTTAAAAGTTTTTGATCTAACTTTTAATTATATTATGAATATTATGAAATATAAGGTAAGTTGAATTTAGGATGAAAACTAAAACTAAACGTGAATATATAGTAATTAGATGTAAAGGAAAATCTTTAGAGTTACGTTTAAACCTTATTTTCTTTTACCTGTAAACATTGTTCAGCTTGAAAAAATTATGACCTATTTAATTAAAATACCGGTAGTTTATTATTATTAACGGATTTAAAAATGATTTGTCCAAGTTGAATTTAATTCTTTTGGACTTGTAAATTGCGACAGCAACGTAAGTTGCCGGCGCGCCCTAATGGGCTGAATAAACAGATAATAAGCTCACAAATAAAAAAAAAAAATAAAAATCTTTTGGCAAAAAACTTTGCTTGCTTCCTAGCATACTTCAACTACATTTTTAAAACCTATCATTCATAATTATTGACCTATCGTCTTCAAAATAGTTTCATATTTAAAATTCATTAGCATAAAATCTGATTAATATATAAATTAGATTGTAAAAATTTATTTCAGACAGAATTTGTACAATTAATTTAATCTATTTTAAATTGTTGCACCAAACTATGTGAACTTAGCATGTCAATTCAATAATCGATATTCACCTTTAACTATCTGTAAAATCTTTACTCCCCCATCAATTTCTTTCTAGTTTTTGCTCTGCTTTAATGTGTGTCCGATTCACGTTTCGTGCGTTTTAGTCAGTATATGTGATACTTAAATTTGCCGATGGTCAACGGTAATCGCTATTCGGGATTCAGTTTTGAGTGGGGCTGTCGAATTGCTGCTTCCGTTAGCTACTTACATCCAATTATCGAGTTGATCCCAGTGCAGAAGTCGATTCACCTCGTAGGGGCCGTGGGTGAGGGGCAGCACCCGATTATTGTCAATGTCCACGTGCACGATGTGCCGGAAATAGCCTGTCCGATTGCGAATGGAAGCGAGAGGGAAAGGAGGGGCGGAAGAGTTGATTGTGAATCGACATCAAAACAAAAGCCGGATTGACATATGGCTCACTTACCAAACGAGCCGTCGCGCAGTGGTGATATGGCCACGTAGAGGCTCGCATTTGCCGCAAACAATGGCACCGAGACGGTGTCCACCCAGCCGCGTCCATCGCCGCTCACACGATGCGTCTGCACACAAGGATAAACACACACAGACACACACACACACATAAATTGTCTATGAGCAGAAACTTGCTTAATTAGGTCAAGTACAACCTACCTCGGTGCACACAAACGATGGACTCCTACAAACGCTGACCACGGATATGTTTTGCGGTCGATTCAGCCACACCACGGCGATCTCCTTGGCATTCACCCAGCTGGCGCTGCTAAAGTAATGATCCCTGTAGGGTTGAAAAATAGAATAAGTTATCTCTGGGTCAAACCCGAGTGCCGTCCATACGCACTCATTCTGTAGTATTTTAGGGGGTGTTAGATCCGTGATGTGTATCTTCTGTGGATCCGATAGGTCGGCCACGCGCAAGGTAACTGTGGGATTCTGTGTGCCCGGCTTTGGGTAGCTGCAAGAAGAAAGACACCCCGGGAGGAGTCAGCCAGTTAAATAATGAGCCAAATCTCGATAATTTATACCCCGCTAAATCGATAGTCGCGATAAATCGAAAATGTTCTATCCCCTCGATAATTTGAATTTCTGTGTAAATCAAAAAAGATCTGATCCCCTTACCATTTCGAATTATCGGGACTCGACTTTATATTTTATTATATTTTCCTCAGTAGCTTCTACGCCCTGACCGTACGCTTCATGTTTATCCTCATTCCTTCACTCTACCCAACTATGTGGTCTTTTGATAAGTTTCCCAACTTCCTAATGAAACCTTAGCTCTGCATATCATCATCTAAGACCATAAATAACTAACTAAATGTGCAATTCACTTTAATTGAATATATACTTAAATTGTTTAAGTTTTGGCAGCGATTCTAATCAGGCATCGGCTTAGACAGCTCAATTTAAAATTTGGTTTAGCACTTGAGCTAAAGTTTAACGTTTAAATTCGTAGCATATTCAATTACCACGATGGCATCTACGCTTTTCCACACGCACACACGCATACATACACATTTGCATAAATAATTCCCTAATGATGATATTACACTAAACACAACAGGTTAGTTGGCAATTTTGTCAGCTTCGTAAGCCCAAGGGGCGAAGCAAGGAATTTCGGAATTTGAACCTTTTGTGCATCTGGCAATTTATCAAATCGCAAATGACAGCAGCTCAGTTTCGAATTCTGAAAGGACTAACGTGGCCAAGTGCCAAAGTCTTGCATTTGCTGCCAACTAATTTTGATATCCAGTCCAGCTAGTCGACTGCAACTGTCTGCGTTCTACTCTGAACTCTATCCGATATAGAACAGTGAATGCTGAATACAGATTGTGCTCGTATTGAATTATGGATTCGATCATATCTAAAAATTCCTTCAATAGATAGTTAGAAATCAGTATTCATCTAATAGTAATAAGCTTAAATATTAGGCTAAAGTTTAACCAGTTGAATATAAATTATAATGTGCTTAAAATTGAATATTCAATATTTAAAAATTGTAAAAATTGTTTTTGCTGTCGTTACAGAATATTTCTGATATATTGATTGTGATTCTCCATTATATATTTTTGATTGCCTATTATATCTTAATACTTAATAATAATATTTAAAATAATTTGAAATTAATTATTTAAACAGAAATTAATTCATCATTCAATATTAACTTGAATTTCTGATAGTTGTTTCTCAGCCCTCATACCCCCTAGACGATATACCTTCATTTAGTTTGTGGACATCGTATAGGAATGCTGCTACACATACACAGACTTTTTATACCTTCCCACATAGCTGGGCACATTTGGGTTAGCGCCGTCGAGATAGGGAGTGCCGAAAACTATCTGCACCTCATGAATTTTAAGCATTCGTTTACCCGAGCACTATTTAGGGCTAATGACAGTCACGAGCACATCATTAGCACCTAATCGAAAAGTAATATTGCCTGGGACATGGCACAACTTACCGTAAGGATCTAATTTCCGGATACAAGTTGGCATGCGGATTAGTGCCACCAGCTGAGCCACCGCCCCCGCCATTTGCATTGCCAGTGCCATGACTCGTGCCGCCTGTCGCAGCACCACCTGCGGCGCCTGCAGAGGTGGTGCCATACCATGCGAAGTGCTGCTCCTGCACGTGTGTATCGTTGAAGCTGGCGTAGAGCAGCAGGTGCCCCTCATCCGGCAACCAAATGGCATTATTTGTATGCAGAATTTCCTCTAAGAACGGGGAGATACAATATGAGTAATGACTGTGTCTGGAGTGTCACGAATATGTTATGTTTCTTTATTGAATGATAACGATAATTGGCTACAAGCGCTCAGCTTCCTCTACGAACGGAATACACTGCAATATGAATTATGACGTGATAGGTAAATATTTCACATCTATAATTCTAGCTATATAAGTGGAATTCCCGCTACAATTTTAGAAACGAATGCTGAACACTCTTTACATTTATTCCTACATGATAAATGGCTAAATGGCTGAAGCAGTTTCTACAATAATTTGATTTTATTTCTTTTGTAAGAGTTTCTTTGTATTTTACAATGAATATCAATATGAAAAGATAAAAATGCAATACAAAAAGTAAACAGCGACAATCCGATTGTTCGAAAAAATATTTTATTGAAAATTTAGATATTTATTACCTTGATTTATCTATCAATATACTATCTATCATTATCATATCTAAAACTTGAGTGGAATATCCAATAGAAATAAATAATGTAATAACCATATAATAATAATATGTATAAAGCAACTAGTTTTCTGCTTTCTTATATATGTATATTAAGTGTCTTCATGATTAACTTCATTTCTGTTTAGGTGCATTGATTTCATATATTACAAAATTATAATATAAATTTTATGTATATAAAGCACATAGGTATTCATTCCTTCTTTCTTGTGAATATATATTTTCCAAATAGTTTCTTTTAGGTATTTTTTAATGCATTCATAATACATTAATGTATTTGACATGTTGACATGTACTTGACATGTTCTTGAATAAGCACAGCAGATAATTTTCTATCAATGAACTTTTTTTTAGTTTACCAGTTCATTTTATTAGAAGTTTGAACTGCTTAATTATCATCATAGGTGACTTATTGAGTAAATGTCTCTACTTTTTGCCAATATAAACCAGTTCATTTTATTAGAAGTTTGAACTGCTTAATTATCATCATAGGCGACTTATTGAGTAAATGTCTCTACTTTTTGCCAATATAAACCTACCTTCGTATAGCCAGTCTGGTATGCCATTGTAGACAACACCCGGCACCGCATCGTGAGTGATGCGATAGGCGTGTGAGTCACGAACTTCTTTGCGATAGTAAATATCATAGTTGTGCACCCAAATCAGAGCGTTTCCAGAGTTGGCGAATCGCGCATAGTGTATATAAGGCCATTCTTCCTGCTGGGAATCGTAGCGCAATTTAATGGCCTCGCTGCAAAGGGAATTGGTATTTGTGAGAGCCGCAAAGAGAGGCGGAAGTGGATATGGCCCACTTACCTCGTGTGTATGTCGAAGAGCGTGTACTGTGCCAAATACGAGTGCCGAAACAGCTTGGCCACGTTTTGGGCCAGAAGCAGGTAACGTTTATCTGCTGATATGCTGAATGTGAAGGGCGCCAGGGTTTTCTGTGTACATAGAGAAGATGCTCCAAATTAGTAGCAGCTCATTCAAAATGCCAGCCATTAAGTGCGTTCTTCTGAATGTTGAAAGTTGATTTCAAATGAATTTTGCGCTCAAATGGCTGTTAAGCAGCTGCCATAACAATGCGTCGTTTACATAATGGCAAACGCTGCGTATGCGTAATTTTAATTAAAATTTTTCAATTGTTTGCACAGCGCGTGCTCTGCAAATGCTTTCATCTCAGCTGTACGAATTTATAATTTAGATTTGTTAATTAATCGCTGAGGTACTCCAGATAAGGACAAAGTGCCTCAAATGGCACAAATAAAGTTAATTGTGTGCATAGTGTACGTAGACTTTTAGCCAGTCTGTGCAATCTATTTGCTTAGCTGACAAACACAACGAGTTTAAGTCGGGGCATTAAGGTTCTTATTCAAATCAAGCATTCAATTTGTCTCCGCTTACATAAGCCGAAACAATTTTTCTAAGAAGTTGTTGAGCTGAAAACGAACTTTTATTTAATCCATTGTATTTATTTGATGGAACCACTTTTGCTAATTAGGCTTTAATTATTCTAGCAATCAGAACTGTTTAAATTCAAAAACATTTGCTGTCAATCGAACTTAGTGGTTGGGTATATTTATTAGTGTCAAATTAAATTATTTTGCTTATATATCATATGTTAAATTAAATTATAAAGGCAGTTATAGTTTGCAATTAATATTTTTGTGCAACCATATTTCATCTGCCAGCATTTGAATAAATTTTAGATTAGATTTTAATTCATAATTCAATGCAGTCGCAAATGGTTTTTCCTATAATCCCACTCTAGCATTGTAAATACTTGCATATCTTAATTTATTTAAAACGAATATTTGCCCTTACTAAATATAAATATATTTTAAAATATATTTTTATATATTTTGTATATATATTAAGTATTCAACTCAATTAAATTCTGATATTGCTTCCAACTGATCTATTAAATTGAGTTTATTCAGTAGAGTCTTAAGTACCAAAGTGCATCAGTAAAAAGAAAACTAATCCAAGTGCTGTTTATTCCAGTTGTTTGCTGAGTCTATCATTTCAATTCGACACAAATTTAATTATATAAACATGACTATTTATTTTCGAATGGAGTATGTTTAGTCTCGAGTAGTTTCTAACTAAGCTAAGTGATTCCTTTCCTTAATTATTTGCCGAGTGTTGACACAAGCAATTGTGTTTGCTTTGCATGTTGCAGTTGTCGTTTGGCAGTTTGTGGCACTTGTTGCTGCATGTGTTGCTGGAAAAGAGCAACCAAAAGGTGCTGGCGTCTTCTTCGCAACTGTTAAAAGTGGGCTCCACTCCTGTGGGCGCCTTCAGCGTGTAGCCGTAAAACATTTATGTTGCCTTATTTGTTTGTTTTTCAATTTCAGAACGCGCATTATTCATTAGAAAATCGTTTCAGCTACCCCAACCCTTGAATATAAATTCATACACATGTATATATGTATATAATATATACATATATGCATATATATTTCGTGGCTCATGTTTACCCAAGCATCGACATAAGAATCGTTTGGCTTTTATCGTTATGGCGTAGCGATAACTTGGCTCATTTGTTTTTGCCTACTTTGCTGCGTTTCCCATAGTCTGTCTGTGTGTGCCTATCTGTCTGTCTGTGTGTCATGTCTATGTGTGTATATCAGTTAACAGTGGCTGCCAACTGTTTGGCTGCCAAGTCAAGTGTGTACACTTGAGATAGCAGTAGCCGCGCCCCTTGCCGCCCACACCCACCCATCGTAAATAACATGCTGCAAATATTTATTCAGCTCCAGATAAGCAATAAGCATACACTGCAGGCCCAATGCTATGGCCTGGGCAAGGGATAAAAATGTACTTACAAATGTCACATTAGACATGAGAACGCGTTCCGTGCGATTGGCTGCATTCAGCAGGCAGATGCGACCCAGCTGATCCTGATACAAAAACTCCTCAGCTGCGAAACGGGAAAGGATTAAATCGAATGCTGTAAGTTCTGATTTGGGTACATTTGCATAATGTCCAGTTAGGATGTTATTTAATATGTGGAACTTTAGGGTGAGTTTATTTAAAGTTGAAGAAGAAGAAGTAGAAAAAAATCCTATTCGAGTCGGTATTTGTGGAGTGGCAAGTACAGTTCTGAGATCTCTCGTCTTCACTTACACTAATAGTCAAACACCTTTTTTTAATGTCAGTCAGGAGTCGTTATTTTAATTTAATTTTAAACAGTTATTGTATGTGATTTCACTTGTCTCGATTTCAGTGTAATTGACTTCCTGACAAGATAACATTTAATTGAAAGCGTATATTTTATAATAATTAATTTTAATTACATGTTCATATTGATTTAATTATATGATGAATATTTTCCGTGACAAGCAATTAATTCAGGAGAATTTAAATGCCATGATAAAAAATTCTGAATAATTCTGAAATTTGAAATGGAAATTATGAAGGCAATCAATTAGCTCTTCTTCGTGTTTTGTAATCTCAGAAACGTAACTAACAGTTAAGTTATCATTAAAATGTAGGAAGTTAATTAACAGTACAATTTAGTATGAGTAAACACCTTAACTAGACATTGAGGAATAGCCTAGTCATCAAGCAGAGTTCGGTTTATCTAATTGTAGCTGCTAAGCTTACCATCGATCCAACTGCCATTCGCGCGCTGTGGAACGTAGAGTCCGTCGACAATGTCCTGCAGCTTGATGCGTTGCCCCTTAACGCGCGGTCCCTCATCGGGGGGCGTGAGCAGCACCTTTTTTGATAAATGCAGAAATTTTATATGTTGTTTTCTATATGCGCAGTAGGACAACACACCACAACAACGAACGAGAGAACAACATCAACACAAAATGGAAACAATGGGAAAATGGAAAAGGAATTTCAAGGAGGTGCACACAAATATCACGCAGCCAGGTTGTAAGGAAAGAAAAAATAAATAAACAAACAAAGAAGAAGACAAAAATGAGCGAAACGTATTTACACAAACAGCATTTGAGGTTTTCAATTGTCATAATACCCTGTTCACACAGTGCAAGCGAGAGTATTCGTGCTCGCTTAAATAATGAAAGCTGCAAGTAGTTCGATAGTAGTTCTGTGAACAGAGTATTACAAAGTCGGTAGCATCCGACATGATGGGAACATCTTTTTCATCTGTACATTGTGACCATAAAACAAAATACAATTGCAATGGACTATTGTGAATATTGTGGTCTTATGTGTGTGTGAGTGTGTGTATTTGTACAGCCGTGTATGTGTGAGTGAGTAAATATTGCGTTCGCATTAATTTCATTTGAATCATGTTTTCTTTTTTGCTATGTACAAAGTTACAACACCGAACATTCTTGGAGTTGGGTTTTTAATTAATATTTTCATTGCATTGAATCAATTGAATTTTCTCCCAGGGAATATAATGTGTACACTGTAAGCATTTACCACGAGCTTGCGACTTACCACCGAAGTTACAATCAGGGCCAACACTATGATAATCACCAGCAGAGCGATGAGAATGCCGCGCCAGTTGCGTTGATTCGGGTTGCTAGAAACCAGCTGGAAAAGGGAAATTGATAAAACAATGTGTTACAAGAGGTACAAGAAAAGGCAAATATTGTTAGGCTCAAATAATGTTTGTAAATTCATACGAGATTCCCTTCAGTCTTTACTTAATATATTTTTTCTATATTCTGTTTTCCATTTGATAGAATATATAAGTTTCAGTTCCTTAATCGACATTTGATAGCTTCACTTTGAATATTTTAATCAATACACTAAAAACTTACTTTTTATTAAATTGTTCATATTTCGAAAGTGCACTTTTTATGGTATAAGGTTTTATGGAATAAAATAATACAAAATTCAATCAATACGATGCACAGTGGTTGTGCTTGTATGGGGAGAGCGGCCAAAAGTACTTCTAGTGGAGATAAAATGATGAAAT